CTCTGGTTGCAGGGAGAAAACGTTCACAGCTGAGCGAGAGGCTGCCATTGTGAGTATGGTCACTGCCAACAATGCAATATGACTGAAAGCCATTCAGAACGTAATCACTAGCAATCGGAATACTTTTGGAAATGTAAACAGTGTAAGTTTGCCGAGTATTGACAAAGTTTCAAAACAGAAATGAACTGCATATGAAGCAGCTATGGAAGGCGTCTTTTCTGGATCAGTGGTCATGGACGGGGAGCCTATAGATTCTAATACTTACAGGTTGGGTAAAATGTAGCTGGAATATTGACAGTGTCTTTCGTGCTAAAAAATAAGATATGTTGTTAAAATAAGGTTTCTGGAAACAGATGAGAGCAACACCATTAGTCACTGAGGCATAGTCAGTGTTCGAGGTCAAAGAGATGAAAATACAAGAGATGGATGTCTCACAGCTGCACCATATGACATATCAGGCATTACTGCGTTGATTATAATACTTCATAAGCTCCAATGAAGCTCTCATCTTTAATGCATTGTAGATACCTTCATAATGCATTATTAAGGTCAGTATAATTATTAAGGATGCTTTGTACTGCATTGTGAAGGTACTGTATCTATAGTACATTATAGATGAGAGCTTCATAAAGCATTCATAATGCATAATAAACATGGCTATAATCTGTTATGCCTTTTTATAAATATTCATAGCCGGGTTTATAATGCTTTATGAATGCATTATAATGTGTAATGAATGTGTTCATAGATTCTTATACAAATGGTATTCATAGAAAGTGGTACAACGATCATCTTCTAGCCATCCACCAAGATATTGGCAACTTTTTTTCCAAAACATCAGAAATTATTGCTACTTTTTTATTACGTTGCTGTTAATTCACTTAATTTTTTTTTATTTTTGAGCAAATATACATGTACTACACAGATAAATAGCCTGAAACAATTTCTTTGACAGTCTAAGATTTTTACACTGGATATACTGTATGTGCTATTCTCCCTGTCATCCTGTCATATGTTGAAGAATTCTTTTCAAAATGGCACCGGAAGATTTATGACTATCTGCCACACTGCATAATGTCTGTTCTTGATGGAATGTATGCAGGTTGTCCAGCAAATCCTGCAGAGAACGCCACAGTCTATTTACACAAAATTTAATTTATTTAGCAGAAACTTTTATCCAAAGCAAAGTACAAGCAAGGTACATTACAAGCATTACACAAGTATTGTAAACATGAACATACAGTATGTTCTGCACCGACAAGATGATGTGGTGTATTGGTGGTTATATAGCATGTGTATGTTTAGGCATTAGATAATGATCGATACAAGAAGATCCTACCAAAAGGATTAGGAATTAAGCGATTTGGTTGATTATGAGGCTTTCACTTAAGGCTTTGAGAGTCTTGCAATATTTTGTCCTTTTCGGAAATGTGCTTTTGGAGGTAAGTAAACTTTCTCGATTTTCTGTTCTGGATAATTTAGAAAGTATTTACCCCCTACCACAACCCCACCCGTCACAGCTGAATTTTAATGAATGGAAATAACACAATAAATTCAACATCTTAATCATGGAAAAATATTTAACATTTAACAAAGCCTATGTATTTCATCTGCAAAAGCAATCCTATTCGAAGGCAAATCTTTGTAGGTAGAATTTTGGAAGCAAATACCATGTTCTGTCTTTGTCGGTAGGTCTGTAATTTCTGCATTTCTGCTCCAACTCTGTCATTAATTAAGCAGAGAGAGTTGATGGACAGCAATATTCGGGTCATGCCGCAGATTTTATGAGGTTAAAATGTTGGCTTTGGCTATGATTTTTACAAAATACTGCCCATGCGTTTAATGCTCTAAAATGTGTGCTTTGTGTTTCTGGCCATTAGTAACTGAAGTAACTTTATCTGACCGAAACCGGTTGATCACTTTATTTCAAAACTGTTGTTCCATCTTTCATTATAAAAACAATGTGCCATTACTTTTCCATTTTATATTTACTAAACTATGAAGATTTATAATACATAACACTTGCATGCATTTGTAAAATACATAAAAGTAAATATTTAAAACAGGAAATTACTTATTTATGAAAATGAGTAATGAAATTACAGACATTATAATTCAAGTACTAGTATTTAAATATTAAAGATTGTTGCAAGCTTTTTTTTCTGGAAAAAGCTGCTCACACTGCCACAAGCTTAAAAAACAATTGTTTTAAAATGCATTTGGAGCTGGTGCTGAGAATTTAGCTGAAAGGACATCAAAATTCCACTACAAGTGAAAAAAGGTTGCTTAGTAGTGACAGGCTGAGCCTTCCTCATAAAACCCGGGGTGCCCTAACCACACCGACTGCGCCACACACACAAGCTTCTTCTCAGAAATATGTCGTTTCATAAAAATCACCAGCTGTGCTTCATAAAACGGAGTGTCACGTCTTCTAAATAAAAAACACGGTTTGTTTGGAGACCAGAGCTGGGCACTAAACTGGAATTGTAAGTTGTTGGAAAGTGAAGACTAAAGAGCAGACAAAATGCACACAGTAAGGAAAACTTGCTAAACAAAATGAGCTTATGCGGGCATCACAGTCGGCGTGACTGATGCCTAATGATTAATGACTGAGGATTGAAAAGTGGAAGCTGCATTGCACCATCCAGACCCTGCCGGTGTCTGAAGAAGTATACGTGTGACGGATGCCAAGAAGAAGCCAGGAATCACGTCGGACGACGTAAAGGGTGCAGGGACTGAGGGTGGATGAAATATAAACCAGCTGAAATTATTGGGAGCTCAGCATAAGACTAGCTGGTAGAACAGGATGGCAAGGAATGAGCTATTGCTCGAAAATAACCATGTGAAAGCACAGCTGGAGTCTGCAGGAGGAATGAGAGTGACCCAGTTACAATGTGGGGGAAAGGTTCTCTGGAAATGGAGATCTGTGGCCACGATTCAAAGCTCTGACTGTGGCACACTGCAAACAGTCACTGGCTCCCGAAACACAAATCATTACGGTGGAGCCCGGCGACGGAGGGGATTCTTCTTATCGGCATCTTGTCAACAGCAAGATGTTCGAAGGGGGGAAGTAATGAATGGATTGTGCGGGATATAAGAAAATATCACGGGACAAGCTGTTAAATTGTTTAAACTAACACTTGAAGGAAAAGCCACCTTTCAGCAGGACATTTATGGAAAGTAAAAAAATGTACAGAGCTCTAACTTAAAAGCTGTTAAGCTATTTTTTGATACCAGAACGTATTAGAATTCTTTTTGAATTTCCGACGACATTGTATTATCTGTTATGTTAATATATTAATAAAGCTGAAAAAGTTTTTTTCCTATTATATCTTATTAGCATAATCCTGCATATAGCTTAAAAGCTTTAGCATTATTAGTTACGGAATACGTTTCGTAAAGGGACTCACAAAGCTTATCGTATATTTTGCTTATTATTGTCTATTCGTGTAGTTGAATTAAAATTGGATCGATTTCAGATTAAGTTACTTGCTGAATGACGCAAAAAGTAACTCACCCTGGAAATAAAATATGCCTATTTGGGATCACAAGCATGAGCTTCCATCTAATTGGACTGCAACATTATTTAATATACCTGGCTGCAATTTACGTTAAACCCAAACTTCGAAAAACTATTAATTCTAAGTATCTTTTAGCAAACTTACTCAAAAGCTGCAAAAGCTATACAACCTCGAAAAAAATACTTATCCCGACAGGTGGCGCCATAACACAAGAATAAATTACGTTGGCCATACTTTTCAAAACTTGGTCTCTCTTAGGTAATTTTGCATAATAAAAATGGGTATAATAAATATTACAGTGTAATTATGAATGCTATAATGCTATTCTGTTGTACATAATGCAAAGTAATGACAAGGATATTCATGAAATAAAAACGAAGTAACGTCTCCATGACGTTTTTCATCGCACACCCATAGGCGTCGCTGTCTTCTATTCGTGTAAATTGCTAAACACGTAAGTGTACAGATCATGCACTGGGCCGTTCTGCAGGCTGTACACTGGGGGGCGGCAGAGAGCACTCCTTCCCAGCCGGGGAGAACCGGGGGAATTACGACCACGTGATGATGAAACCCACGCGCCACCTGTAAGCAGGGGGACGCCGAAATAGAATAAAGGTACATAACGTATTTTATTTCCCCCAGTTGTCACCTAATGAATGATTATTTTATATAGATGATGTGACCGTCTAAATGTTGCTGATAGTTTTAGAGTTACTGATTTTTTTCTTGCACGCATACCTGTTGATGTTATTCTTGTGCACTTTTCATTGTAAACGAAATGTTCCCCATTGCAAATAACTCTGAATATGCAAGTGGGCATGCATGGCAGGAGATATATTAAAAGTATCGCAGTTGTAAAACTGGAGAAAATACCACGTCATTAGCTAATTAATCGGGAATTTTACGAAGACTGGTGCATGCTGAATATATAACTTGCATCTTTTCCTATGTCTATACGGTATTACTTTACATTATTAAAACGTTAATTAATCTTGTTAATCGTGGCATCTGATAAAAATCTGCAAGTGTAACACTTTAACACTTTTCAACTACATATTTTTTGCTTTGCAGACAACCCGTGTCACAAGTTACTGCAGCGTCCCACGTGGCGACGACAGCGCTGACTCGCGAGATGTCACACGTCCTTTTTTGCCAATCACTTCTCTCGCACGGTCCTATTATTCCACAGGGTGCCCGATCCCCCCCCCCCCCCCCGGCATTGCCTCCCCGATGATAAGCGCGCTTCCCTCCCAACAAGTCCCAACACCGCCATCCGCCCCAAAGTCCCTCCCGGCCGCTTGCCTGCTTCTTTGACAAACACCTGTCTCGCCAGAAGGTGGACCCTAAGCCCCGCCCACCGACGCCCGACGTCAGAAACGCATCGTTTTAATTGGATCGGGGCCGGAGTGATATGTAAATGAGGCGGCCGTGGCCCCGCCCTTGCACCTGACTAACACTATTTACCGCACTAAACTGCACTCGGCCGTCCCGCCGCTGCAGCGCTGCACTTGTCTGCCTTCCTCCCCCGGACTATGCAATAGGAAGCGGCGCGCTTGCAGTGATTTGTCGCTCTCGCACACTGGGCTGGGACCGTTATATTTATAAACCAGTTTTCCCTCAATCGCTGCCCTGCGTGTGTCTGTGTGTGTGTGTATTTTTTCCCTCAAGATGCCGCGCTCTTTTCTTGTTAAGAAACATTTTAACTCAGCTAAGAAACCAAATTACAGTGAACTCGACAGTACAACAGGTAAAAGCAAAGTTTTTTTTTTTTCTTGTTTTAAGAAGTTAAACCAGAGGCGCAAGTTTCCTTAGTTTAATATAACTTAAGCGCACTTTGTTATTAATCATCCTAAGTAACAATGTAGTTTCCTTTTTGTTCATTTCCGACTGTTAAAATGTTGTTAGTGTCTTTGAAGACGATTTAAATTTTCTTTATCGGAATATTGTGTAGTATATTTTTCTGATCTTTGACAACGTGTTTTAACTTCATGTTAAAATCAACTTCAAAAAGTTACAGCCCTCGAAACCTGTTTACGGTTTTAAACAATGTTACATGTTAATGCTATGTTGCTCACTGTGTGTTTTCTTTTTGTGTTTAGTGTTTATTTCGCCATATCTGTACAAGTCGTTCCCGGCACCCGCCATCCCCCAGCCAGAGATCCTGAGCTCGGTAGCGTACAATCCCATCACGGTATGGACTACCAGCAGCCTGCCCCTGTCCCCGCTGCCTAGCGATCTGTCTCCGATCTCCGCATACCCGTCGTCCCTCGGCCGCCTGAGCCCCCCTCCGCTGTCCGACACGTCCTCCAAAGCCCAGAGCGGCTCCGAGAGCCCGGGCAGCGACGAAGATGAGCGGCTGCACCCGAAGCTGTCCGAGCCGCACGCCGCCGAAGCCGAGAAGTTCCAGTGCGCGCTGTGCAGCAAGTCCTACTCCACGTACTCCGGGTTGCTCAAGCACAAGCAGCTGCACTGCGACGCGCAGGCCAGGAAGTCCTTCAGCTGCAAATACTGTGAAAAGGAGTACGTGAGTCTGGGGGCCCTGAAGATGCACATCAGGACGCACACGCTGCCCTGTGTATGCAAGATCTGCGGCAAAGCCTTCTCCAGACCCTGGCTGCTGCAAGGACACATCCGGACGCATACGGGTAAGGGCTTATTAAAATCAGGTCAACAAAATCCAAGACAGCTCTGTTTTAGCTACTCTATGGCTTTATGCAACCACCTCTTACACCTATCAGCAGGTTTTGAGGAATGGATCGAGAATCTGGTTTGATTTCTTAAAGTGATCCAAAAGTTAGTTAAGTGGAACGGAAATTGGGTGGACTGATTGGTGACACTGTATAATAAGTACATAATCGTAGGATTGGGTGCAAGTTTCAGTTATTTTAGCAGTTCAGTTATTGTATGGAGTACTGAAGAGATCTGATTTCAGGAGCCTGAGGGCATGTTAACTGCTAGTTGAGTCAGGACGCTATGTGGCTCGATGGGGTTCCGTCGTTAATGCGCTGTTCCTGCTCGATTTATCCCACAGGAGAGAAGCCCTTCTCCTGTCCGCACTGCAGCCGAGCTTTCGCCGACAGGTCCAACCTCAGGGCACACCTACAGACTCATTCCGACGTGAAAAAGTACCAGTGCAAGAACTGTTCCAAAACCTTCTCCAGAATGTCTCTCCTGCACAAACATGAGGAATCTGGCTGTTGTGTAGCACACTGAGACGGGCCAGAGCGGAGCCGTGCTACTAAATGCAGACTCTCTGTGACTGAAAAGCCAAATCTATATATTTCAATGGTATTTTAATAATTTTTTAATTTTTTTTTTGCAAATATCAGCTGTCTCCTTCATTTCATTTAAACAGTGTTGTTCTTTTTTTACGTTGTGAAGCAATCAGTGTTTTTTGAATAATGCCAAGTGCCTACATTGGTCATACTGTAAGTGTACAAATGGGCTTCTCGCGGTAAGGGTCGCGTTCCGCCTGCCGACAGGACCTCCGGGAAGCCCGCCGATACCAAATCTCCATCAGCACCTTGCAACCATTGCACAGTAGATGCCCTGCACGGTCCACAGAGGCGCCACCGGATGTCGACCTTAAGGAGTATCTGAAGCCATTGCTGTATAGGGGACGTGTGCAAGAAGTGATGTTTTTTTTTCCTCTATTTTTTAAAGAGTGAAAGTATTTAAACTTGTTGCTCAGCCATAATGCGACGACTGTTTAAGAGCACTCCAAAAAGCAATACTTCATCAAGTGCCTTACCTAGATTTGGCAACTATGTATTGTTCCGAAATATTTTTTCCCCCATTTATATTTTTATATATTTGAATGTATTGTGTGATTGAGAGGTGTGTATTTTCACTGTGTGAGATACGTGAGAGACAGACTTGAATGAATTATTGGATGGCCTAGCAGTATCTGTTTTTACACAATTTAAATAAAAATGCAGGAAGTGTATTTAAAATGTTTTGAGTTTTCTTGCTACGTGTTTACGCAGAGGCTGGGGTGTGACAGGACTCGCTCATTAGTCTGGCTCTGTTAATTAGCGCTACAGGTCTACCACTAGCGTCGGTACCTGTTCTTTGTCTTTCGGATGACGGATGAATCACCAGGCATTTGCATTTATATAGGACTGGAGAGTGTTATGCACATGACAACAGCCTGCAGTCATTGGGGAAAGCCCACTGCATTCTGGCAGTATTATTTGCAGTTCAAATGCTGTGGTATTTCAGTGAAAAGTGAGACCCCTTACAAATGGCTGCAGCCCTGTGTGTCTGTGTCTGCGAGTGTATAACGGAGGAAAGGAGAGAGATTCTAATACTAATAACAGTGTGTGTTTCCCGGCTTGGCTGGAAGGGTCAAGGAAAGAAGGCCAACAGGATATGTTATTGACCTCCACTGGTTCTCAAGTGCTTTTAATAACTGCAGTAAGGCGATGCAGAGTGTAAGTGATTAGAGCAGTTAATGAACTAACTTGTCCCCTGCCCTCGGACCGCCCTTTGCCGGCCAGGAGCAGGAGGCCGTCCTAACGTTACACGGCGTCTAATTATCGACTGATTGTCGTTCTTGGTTTCCCCTTCCCTGTGATGTCAGAATCACTCGGGCAAATTCCGACCGATGTGTCCGAAATGTCGTGTCGTGTCGTGTCGTGTCGTGTGAATTTTCCTTCTTTCTCGTTTTGATTTTTCGGTAAGGAGCTGAGACTAAAATAGTTGAGTTATTACTCCATTTCATTATTTCAGTCGTCGCTATAATATGTTGCGTAATGTCCAGAAATATGTAACTAAAACATTGACATTTTACTGTACAGATATGCATAATTCTTCCTTCTTTAATTAGAGCCAGAGCTGCAGTTCCATATCTTTTCTTGATTACATATAACGACTATGCAGTGTGTCCTGAGGGGTGAACCTGCTGTCCCGTGAACCTGCTTCGGACTTCAAACAAACACCAAATGTAACACATGGGTACTATATTGATCTGCAGTGACACGCCAGTTGCTTTGAAGGGCTTGAGTGTCGCCGGCCTTTCATTTGCCAGGGTTGCTGGCTGGGTGGGTGTTAACTTTAAAGAGTAAAAGCTGATTTTGCACCTGTGAAAAGCCATCCACTCCACTCCTGCTCCGTTCTCAGCTTGTTACCTTCACTGGATCTCCTTCCATGTGTGAGAGAAAGCCAGGAGCTGAGCGGGGAACATTTGTTCCCATTGATCTCAGCGCCATACAGGTGGTGGATATTTAAGGTCCAGCTCGTTTAAGGTCCACAACATAAAATAGAACAAATTTACAAAACTCATTCAGTCCATTTTTTGTCATTTATTATTAGATGAGACAGTGACCTAAAGTCTAGCTTCCTCATCATACGTTACAGTATCAGACCCAAACTCTATTGTCCCTCCTGTAATCCAACCTAGAGCTTCCATTCAATTTTGAGAAACGCAAAAGAGTCCACAGAAATTTTCTTTGTGTTTCGGAAATTTGCTCTTCAACACTTAACCTGCATCAGATTTCCAAGTGGTATAAATCAGTTGGTTCAGTTAAATATGTCACCTTTCTGATTAATTCCCCTAAACAAATATGTAATATATAGATTAATTACCCTTAACAAATATGTAATAGATATATATATTGTCTTGAGTGGACATTGATTCCAACATGTTGTTTTTTTTTGTTCAATATTTTAGACATATTCAAGATGAATACTATTATTGGGATTGAGGAAGGATTCCATGAAGAGGGAAAATAAATCGGTTTGATGCGAATTCCCAGATGTTCCAGTGCTTCTGGGATTAATGAGGAAAATCACATGTTTGCCTGAAAGTCAAATACAGCTGGCGCTGAGATAGGAATGAACAAGTAAGCACTATTGTCTTGTCCGCTTTCATGTTCCGTGGGGTCTACCTCGCATGCCACATGGAATTGTGGGTATGCTACTCTTATGAATCATCAGCATCCACAACCTCCAGGTGTCCCAACAGGTCTCTGTCATTGATGCAGGGTGGGGTATGCAGGGCTGGAGGGCATGGGTGGTCTTCCTGAAAACAGGCCTGGTTTTAGCTAAATGGCCGAGTCACCTTCAGGGTTGCTAATTCCCAGAGCTTCTTAAACTTCAGCCGTGTAATTTGGAATCAGTGCACGGTATTCTGATTTATGTCTTGGAGGCATGGTGCTGTTCGTTCCGCTGCCAGCAGTTTTTGTGAGAAGCCTAAGGAGAAGAACACTTGTTCCTGACTGATAATTTCGCAAATATTCAGTGGCGCTGTCACTTCATCAATGTGTCTTTACTTAGGGCACTTAAAATGCCCTGCAGTTTTAGTATGATGATCTAGGCACCGGTAGACAATATTTTCCCTGGTTTAATAAAGCTGTTAAACAGATGTATTTAAATGAAGTGGATTACACAAGTTAAAGAGATAGACGGCAGTAAGGGTTTGCATGTTCACAGTTCTGGGCTAATTGTAAAGGAGCGTGGAGACCTGCGCTCACAGCTCTGGGCTAATGGCAGGGAGGGTGTAGACCGGGGCTCACAGATCCACAGCTCTGGGTTAATGGCAGGGAGGGTGTAGACCTGCGCTCACAGATCCACAACTCTGGGTTAATGGCAGGGAGGGTGTAGACCTGCGCTCACAGATCCACAGCTCTGGGTTAATGATGGGCAACCAAAGGCACTCAAAATCCCGCAGGGCGGAGAGTGAGCAGCGTGATCCCACCATGACTATCAAGTGGAACAAATAAAATTAAGTGTCTCCTCTGAGGGCCGATTGTCCCGGCCCGAGCGTGATGCGGGCCCCCCTCCCCGTGCTAACCTGGGAGAATGAGCTGATTGTAGGGCTCCTCAAGGCAGACAGTGCCTGGGGGGGCAGTCCTTGTTTAAAGAGCCGGGCTTCTCTGCAGGAAAGATTGGAAACACGCTCACTTATTGCACCAATCTTTTGAGATGCCCTACAGTATCCCATATGGCCCTATTAAGCTTGCACAGATAACATGAATTCACTGTTGTTTTCTCGTAACTTAAAGAGGCCACAGCTGATATGGTGATACAGTGTTCAGTCTGAGTCCCTCTGAAGCCAGCCAGCTCGACAGCGTCACGTTACGTCAGTCTCACAGGTCCGCTCCCACGGATTTAACCGGATATAATGCCAAATCACATCCCCGTTAAATCCCACTGTTCCATCTGAGTTATTTTCTTTGACCGTTGTCATCTTTGTCTGTCCAGCTGAATGCTGTGGCTCCCCCACTTTGCTAACTTGATCATCCATTTTTTTACCCGCTTTAGGTCACAGGAAGTCTGTGGCTTGGAGCTCAGAAGGTTGCCAGCACTTCAGCACATCAGGCTGTTTCCCAATCATGTCTGAAGAATAAATAAGTCACATCGTACAGATGAATACTTTATGGAACTCATCCCCCTTCAGCAACACTCTCATATTATTATTAAAGTAGCAGATCAATAGTCAATGGACTCATTTAGACTTTAGTTGTGCCAGCCAATAATGGAGGGTCTGTCTCTGCTTTTCTTTAAGTGTCACACGTCCCAAAGACACATGATCCCAACCGGCTCCCATCCATGGCCTAACAGCACACTGTCCCTTTGTATCTTCAGACAACCTCAGGACCACTTGTGCGCCGTCCACTTGTTCCCGGCCACCAGCTACCAGTAAACACCTTCGTATTTGTGCATCTTCCGTTCGTCCGTCTATCCTTCTGGTTTGTATCACTGCTGCTCCCGTATTCCAGGAAGCAGACATATTTGTATAGCATTGACACCCTCAAACATCTCATGCATTGCATGGTAATAGACATCATGACCACATAGTACACATTAATACGTAGAACCTGTCAGTAGTGCATAAAGTTATGGATAAATTTTGATGCCATTTACGAGTGTGCTTTCATACTCACTTGCTATTGTTGTCACAGTGTTGAAATGCATTTCACCTCGATTTAATGACCAATGTATGTACAAAACCACATGCAATTAATAACACAAATGTGATCACTCAATATCCTCTAACATATATTAATATTATTTATTGTAAAAAATACTTAGTATTGTGTTAAATGACTAATAATAACAACAACAACAATAATTATTATTATTATTATTCGTATTATTGTTATACAGATAACATTTTATGAATTGAGTATCTGATGACATTATTGGTTTTCAAATTCTTTTAATATATTACCGATGACTGACTACTGTTTTTGTGATTTGATAGGAACTGTGGACACTGGTTTCTGTGCAATATCACGCCCGTTTTCAGGGACCTGTCACCTAAGCACATCCGCATGCACGATTAGTGCAATTTGCAGGCGCCTATTATCCTTCACTGCACTCTCGACCTAAAATTCAATTTAAATTCACATTTGCTATTATATGGTGAAATATTAGAGTTTTTCCTCAGTCCCCAGCCCGTGGCATATCCACATACAGTTCTCTCCTAACCGAAATGGTGTGATCCATCATGCGGATGTAACAAATGCGATCACATGCCACTTAACCAATTAGAATTAATAGCATCAGAATCATATGTTGTTGTGCGTTCCCCCGAAGTCGTAAGTATTCTCCACCAGTGAGGGTATGGGCCACGTCTCAGGCTGCGATCAGACATTCGTCTGCAGCTGGGGAGTGTTCTCATGCTTTGTTTAATCTCCGTCTGCTTGTTTACTTCCAACGGCAGAGGCTAAGGAACGTGGCAGGAAGCCTGTTTACGTTTTCTCACTACAATATGAAACTCCTTCAGACGGCACTTTTTTGCAAAATAAGAGCATCCATATAAAAAAAAAAAGTCATTTTACCCAATATTAAAAATACACGCACTTCGTTTTAAGAGTTTTATTGTAACAGGCATTCATTTCCACATGCCTGATACCTTGTTTTGATATTTTGAATTTATTTATATTATTTATACTTCATAGCGGGAAAAAAAACAAGAGCCTTTTGGTTAAATATGTTTTCCTCAATA